AGGCACTTAAGCTGTTTATGTTGAATACACTACTGATTGATAGCACAAGAGTTTGATGTCCTGTCCAAGGCTTTGGATTAACAATAACCCCATTTGTTAAGCCATTTGGTTGTTTAGTTAAGCTATTGATTAAACACACATTTTGAACATATTTTTAGGTGAATTCAGGGCTAACAGGTGTTTAGGGCTCTTATATAGCAGTATATTTAGGCAGTAATTGAAGGGATCGGTCATTAAATGATGTAACCAACAGACCTCCCCGGGTCTATGTCTGAACACATGACGACCACCTGTACCGCTCCAGACTGATAATGACTGATCCTTTCGTTGCCACACATGTGTATTGTCTTAATTGTCTACTACTTTGCCATTTGTTCTCATGTGTTGTATGTTATTTTGTATTGAATTGTCTGAACAGGTGGTGAATTCGCCTCTGAATACAGCGGTCCCCGAGAGGCCGATGGTATCGTGAAGTACATGCGCTCACAAGTAGGTCCGGCCTCCAGACTGGTCGAGACGCGCGCCAAACTCGAGGAAGCGCTCACTAAGGCTAAGGATGTGATCGTTTTGGGTATCTTCGAGTCGGACGACAAGTCCGCAGTTCAGACCAGTTTCCTGAAGACGGCGGACAAACTGCGAGAGTCCGTCAACTTTGTGCACGTGTTCACCGAAACGGTTTCCGATGCACTCAAACTGAAACTGTTCGCCGATCTCAAGGACAAGAAGGCGCCCACTATTGTCCTCATCCGACCCAAAGAGCTCAAGAATAAGTTCGAGTCAAACGTTGTTCAATACGCTTCCGGAGACGTCGAGGAGTTCATTAAAACCAATTATCACGGAATCGTTGGTCACAGAACTCAGAACAACAATCAGGACTTTAAGGTATTGCTTGAATGGACTAATGGATGTGTTTGTAGTGATAGTGAGGGTCTTCGCCACACTAATTGTTGGTTAATCTTTGCCACATTAGTGCCAGGAATCGAACGATTCAAAGACCAATATTAATATATCGTAATAGGAAGCAGTCGAGCACTTCTTCATTGCTGAGACTGTGCCATAAATTTTCGATACATTTACTTTAGTTACATCTTATGATGACTTTTAATTTATTTGTCAATTTGTTGACTAATTGTTTGTTGAATTGATTCCAGAATCCGTTAGTCATTGTCTACTATGATGTCGATTACGTGAAGAACATTAAGGGAACCAATTATTGGCGAAACCGTGTGCTGAAAGTGGCCCAGAATTACAAGGAATTGAATTTTGCCATTTCTAATGCCCAACAATTCGCCGGAGAGCTCGAGGAGTTCGGTCTCGAGTCGCCCAAAGACCGAGAGGCGACACCAGTGGTGGGCGCACGCGATGCTCAGGGATTGAAGTACGCGTTCAAAGAGAAGTTCTCCGTCGAGACGTTCGAGCAGTTCGTCAAAGACTTTAAGGACGGAAAACTGGAAGCGTTTGTGAAGTCAGAGGAAGTGCCCGCCGATAACGATGTCGCCGACGTTAAGGTCGCCGTCGGCAAGAACTTTGACGAACTCGTGACCAAAGCAGATAAGGACACACTCATCGAGTTTTACGCCCCGTGGTGTGGACACTGCAAGAAGTTGGCCCCGACTTTCGATGAATTGGGTATGTATTGCATTGTCTGGTGTTTGTATTGATTGTTGTATTAAGTGATGAGTCTATTCAAGACGGGTCTGACCATTGATGACCAGCTACTGACTGATAGTCGACAATCAATATGTTTTTATGTGACACTCTTTTCTTGATATGTTGTTTAATAAGTTGTGTTTTCGTTGTGAATGATAGGCAAAGCCCTGAAGAACGAGCCGGGAGTACAGGTTGTGAAGATGGACGCGACGGCTAATGACGTTCCGGCGCCGTTTGTTGTGCACGGATTCCCGACTCTGTATTGGTATCCAAAGGATAAGTCGATCCAGAAATACGAGGGCGGAAGAGAGGCATCGGATTTCTTGAATTACATATCAAAACACGCGACCGAAGAGCTGAACGGTTACGACAGGAGTGGCAATCAAAAGGCGATCAAAGAGGAGCTTTAGATCAACGACACGACGCCTTCATATTGTATTGAAATGTCTGACAAAAAGTTTTTAATATAACAATTGATTAAATA